ACTGTCATCCTAGAATAATGGGAATAGCAAGAAAACTCAGTTCCTGATCCAGTTTGGGTCATCATACCCACTCTATGTCAAAGTTTTGGTTTGTAGAACTTGTCCTATACTAGTGAGGCAAGTGGAAGTTGATGTCTTGCCAAAACCACTTGGTGCTCTACTTTCTCAATCCATCACTTGTCTTAGCTAGCTATGGGAAATGCAGCTGAGCAGATGTGAGAGCAACAGCAGCCCTTCCTTGCAGTCTTGGCCTGACTTCCTACATGCCTGTTATATAAGCTGTGTGGGGAATAGAAATGAAGTGGTCACATGTTGGGGGTCACTGTTGCAAGCTCTCGACAGTAAATCAGTTAAGACAATAAATGCTAAGTTTAAAGAGAGCTAAGAGGGAGGGAAATATCAATATCTGAGAAAATGAGTCTATTGAAACTAATGCTTTTGGCAAGTACTGCATACCAAAACACTCTGGAGAAGAGAAGGGCTGCATTTCAGCACCAGACTGTTATAGTTCTGTTTAGCTTTCCAAAAGTATCACCAATGTCACTATACATAGATGCAGTCCATCCTTACAGAAAGAAACAGTGATCTATAAGCTACAAGGCTCTTTGTGAAGCTAGAAGTACCTAATAAGCTGAAGAGTTTTGCTGGCTCCCTGCTGCTTTTTGCTTGTGCTTGATGGATGGTTGTAGATCCACTGGCGATTCTCCAGACCTGCCTTGGCAATCATGTGGAACATATTATCCTCTCGGGCAGAACTGCCAAATCTGTTCCAACCTTTCCACTCAGCTGTAAACCCAAATGCTTAAAAAGAAATCACTTACACAACAATACTCCCTATTGTAAAAAATACCATAAAAGGCTGGAAAGGATAGCAGTGACTTTATCCTCTCTACTGTTATGATCCTTTGGTCTTTCCTCTTCCAAAAAGGTCATATCTACTTATATATTTATTTATTTATGAGTAGTCTTTGGATACCTTATATACATACTGATCAAATAAGCAGGACTGAGGTGATAACAAAGCAGTTAGAGATTTTTAGGTAGACACCAACAAAGGTGGAGGTAAAATTTTCCCTTTGTATCTTCACATCTTCTTAGCAGCAAAACCCGTTGGGCTTTATGCAGGAAAAATGACATCACTCTGTCTGTAGACTGCCACTTGCAGCTAGTACAATTTCACCCAGATGACATCACATATATGTGTTTGCAAAATCAAAAGGTAGAGGGTCCTACAAGTGATCTCCTTTTCTTCTCTTAGGTAGAATTGAGAAAGTTACATTTAAAGTCCAAAGTCAAAAATCAGTACAAAGAATTAGTTTTTTTCCTTCTACTAGTCTTACATGCATCACCAGATAATGTATTTGAAATTAAGATTATTTGACATCTCTATTGTATTATATCATTAATTGAAGCTTACACTGTGCTGGCTGCTCTTCTTCTAACTCTTGGATGATTTTCTGTAATAACAAAATGGACTGAATGGCTCTTTGGTTTTAATCAGAGGACCACGTGATTTATTTCCACCAGTTTTATGTGGACATCTATGCAAGAAAGGCTCTGTCTGTAATAATTTCTTCTATCTGGCTACCTAATGAGATTGTTGATTCATTGCTTGTGTCATAGAATAAGCTTTTAAAGACTTGTGGATTTGATTTACACTCTATGAATAAACTGAGAGAAGTTCTGAAACAGAACCTCAAGAAAGATACTTATGTCAGCAGAAATTGAAGATGTGAGTACTTTACCCTAAGGCATCATTAATAGGGGTTTAAATTTATTTGATTTCAAAGTCAGGGCAGAGGCCAACGAAGATGTCATTAATTTGTATGCTGTGGGAACCACATTCACCAAATTGATTTGGGGGATTTGCATAATATGATCTTAGAGCCTTGTATGGAGTCTGACCCTTATATTTCACACGTTTCAAAGCAGAGTACTTTTTAATTTTCGTACTACCTTGTTCATTTATTCGGTTGTTATGGCTGAGCTACTACTTAAACTATAAAAAATAATCTACCTTTAAAATAATCTAACTTTAAAAATGGATATTTTTTTTCATGTTTAAATCATTCCATTGTGTGAATAAACATGCAGACTTAGAAACTTGTAACCATGAGGAACATTGGTTCTTCTAAAGATCTTCATAGAATCATAGAATCATAGGGGTTGGAAGGGACCTCAAAAGTTCATCTAGTTCATCTAGCCCAACCCCCCTGCCAGAGCAGGACCACCTAGAGTACATCACACAGGAAGGCGTCCAGGCGGGTTTTGAATGACTCCAGTGAAGGAGACTCCACAACCTCTCTGGGCAGCCTGTTCCAGTGCTCCGTCACCCTCACAGTGAAAAAATTTTTCCTGATATCTTCTGCTAATGACTTTCTGTAACACGTATGACTTATGGTTAGGGTAACAGGTGGTGCCAGTGAAGAGTCCATAAGTGATAAAACTTTAGAACTGTTGTGTCTCAGGGGCAAGGAGATAGCAGATTTATACTGATAGAAATGGATGATGACAAAAATAATAGCATTGGATAAATACAGAATATATATATGTATATATATATTTTTTTTTTTTTTTAACAGCCTGTTAAAATCTAACTGAATGCAGAAAGTCTTTTGTCTTACTATCAAGTGCGGTGGTTACCACTGCAAGAATCATTGGAGTAACTTGCCTAATAATTGGAGGACAGAGAAAATAAATAGAGATCTATCCATGCCATGTGGTCCTCTCTCTTCACAGAAACTGCCAGCCATACAGATACCCACTCCCTGCTACTCCAGCCTCAGCCCCTGAAGACTTGGGCTGGATCTGTTCCTGTGCTCCTGCAGAACGGTCCTTAAAGAAGGCTACTTTGTCCACTAGCTCTAATACAAATTACATTATCAACCAGCAAGTCTCCTTTTCCCAAATTACATGCATTCATGTATTTAACATGCTAATTTGTTCTGTAATTCAAGTTACATCTTTCTTTCTCTGAGCTTGTCTTCACCTAGGCTTTCTCAGTCACATTCTGCAGCTTACTAATTTCATCAGTCTTATGATGCTCCCTAGAAATTTCCAAATCTGCAGGGAAGTCCTGTTACTGCAATTTCCTGGGCATCTCTGGTTCTGTTTTACGCTATCAAATCTTCAAAACCCTTTTACATTCTGCTTTTTTCCTTCCACTGTCCTCTTAAAAATCCCTTTCATCCTTACTTCACTTAAGCCTTTTCGCTGTTCCTCTTTATTCAGAAGTAAATGGCTTGAGCTTAATGGCTTCTTAAATCATTCAGATAAGCCATCAAATGGCTTATTTGAACTCAAGTAGTAAACTGGGGTTTAACTCTGTGTTTTGTTTTTTACTACCTGACTGCTTTCAAGAGTTTAGTATTCTAGAGAAACAGCAGACAGGAATTCACATATATTTTCAGATTATTTCCTGC